TGGGCAACGTATACTCATACGGCAAAAGGTCTATTAACTGACAGTTGACTTCTAACTTCAAACTACAAACTACCATGACCCCACTGTGTTCCATATTCAACTAAAGCCACAATACTCATCTTACCTATTCTCTGCCTTTGCGTCTGTCTGTCACTTACATCTGTGAATCATTATTCTGTCCCCCCCCCCTCTCGAATTTGTCACACTTTGATATTCCTCCTCTCGGTGAAGCCCGAAGTCAGCTAAAGGGCTAATGATAACAATCAAAACAACTGCCATTTGATATAAATAAATACACTTTTATATAAAAATAACAAAAAAAGATTATCTTGAAATAAATTGATATCAAAGTCCTTGTGAAAAGAGAGCTGATAAGGGCCAAATAATTAGAAATAGATTAAATAGGGTAGAAAAACAACCTTTACATCAAAAAATTGGCAGAGTAGATTCTTCTTGCGAATAACAGAAATAGTAGATATCAAATGGAATGTGATTTACAATAACCGGGACTTAATTTCATAATAAGTCCTTGACTTGCAACATGTAATGAATAAGTGGCACACCAAGTACAACGCAATAATAGCAAAATAAAAAAAACTTGAAAGAATGTATGAAAGACAGTATTGAAAAGTTTAAAACAAAGAAATAAAATGAATCGAATCAAACTTAAAGGAAATCAGTGATCGACTAAAACTTTTTCCAAAACCTAAACAATGAACACAATTTAACGTAAGTTTACATTATGTTGTACTTTTTAATTTAAGCTCCGTCGGCAACCACATTTCATTAAGAAGACAGAATAAAAACAGATGTAGTTTTTCCAAATTTTTAGCGCTAATATGCAAATCCTTAGTAAAGTTTGGAAAAAATGTCCCCATTCTAACTAGTAAATAAGCAATCGGTTAAATTACAGACGTTGCAAGAACTCCCAGAGCAAAGAAATAAGAAAATAAACCAATAAAAATTTCAACTTTTAACCAACATATACTCCACCCCCTTTCCATCTACACAAAATCCCTTCCACTTCATAAAGCTTAATTACTGAACACCCAAAAGATATAAATACTTAAAATAAACCTAACAAAATAAGTTGTTATTTATTTTGGACAAAGAAATAGCCCCATCGAATTAGTGCATAATATTTGCTAATATGATTGGTCGTAAGAAAGTGAATACAACCAGTTGGATCTAAAGCCCACGAAAGCCACTACACAATCGGATATAGTTAAATATAATGATTAGCTATAAATATGCATGAAACATTGGCATACCGGTAGAGGAACAGGCCAGTGCACGTGATACAGATCCACGTAGTCCAGTTGGAGACGGGCCAAACTAGCTTTGCAGGCCGGCATCACATCTTGTGGATGATGGTCGGTACCCCATAGCTGTACAGAAAAAAATTACAACCCAGTGTGATACACCTGTAAGTTGTTATTGATTTGTGTTTAAAGAATCAATGAAAATAGACAGCGATAAAAAGATGCATGTGAGCTTGAAAAAATGACTAAACAAAGGACTTCGGAATTGAGAAGTTAAAACGAAAAAACACAAACAAATGCATCAAGAACAGAAGCTTCTCAAGACAAAGAACCAATTGCAGCTAGAGCTTAAGACTATCACTAATTTTGTTAAAGGTAGTCATCTTCTAAGTCAAGAAATATCAATAATCTTAGCCAAATTTTTAGTTTTTACTCAACCGTAATATCTGCGTACTTTGTTCAAATACGCATATTGTTGGGCAACGAAAAGTTGGATCGTGTAAGTAAATAAACCCTAAACGGATGCTTGATGAAGCATACACAAAGTAAATAAAACGAAACGGATGAGAGGAGACAATCACTTCAACTACTGCAGAAGCCACAATTACACCTATTGTAAAAGAATAAAAACAAGATTACCTCATAAGGAGAAGAGAAATAGAATTCTTATCTCAAGTGAATACGTGCCTTGGTTGTGATGAACATTTCCTCCCGAGAAATACCACTTTCAGACATCTTGGATTTCAAGGCAGTACCGATATCTGATTCATTTGAGTAAATGAAAGCGGTGTCAATATGACGATAGCCAGCATCCAGTGCAGTAGAAATGGCTATTTTCGCGAGATCACTAGTAGTAGTCTAAAGATGAAATATAAAAATTAACTTTGGAAACAATAGTAATATATTTTTGGAAAAAAATTCGGCTTACCTTGAATGTCCCTAGACCGATTGAAGGAATTTTTAGACCGTTAGATAGAAAAACTGGTGGTGCAAATACGGGCATCTATATGAAATAAAAAGCGCTTTTAGGAGTCTTTACGATGAATATTAAATAAAAAAAACAAACATGAACCACACAAAAGGCCGTTAACTATAATTTTACCACAATAATTCGTTCAATGACTTACTGCGCTAAACGAGGAAGGCGGCAACTATAGTAGCACACTAAGTGAATCTGTGGCCTACAGAATAACATGTGTCAAAGTACCTCTTAATTTTTATCCGTTCATTCTTTTATAGCGTTAAAAACAATCAATCTAATAAATATTTATTTTGCAATATGTTGCGAATAGTAATTACTTTTTATTATCTATCAACTCTGAGTTAATATAATTAAATCACATTTCACTGGATTCAATTTACTATACTTTTGCACGATTTAATAATGCATTAATATCTTATTAAATTAGTGCGTTTAACTTCTTTCAGTCTTAAGCGCGTGTTTTGTTCTTGCGCTTATAGATTGGTGTTCGCTACTTATCATGCCTTTACCGCCTGCTTTAGCAGCCAGACTCGCCAAAAGGGGACTTTTAGATAAGGATAAACACGAAGGCAAGTGAACGTTCATTTGTCTATGAACATTGCACGGAGTACACATCTCTATTCTATGTGTACATAAAGTTCCATATATCTATTTGTTGTTATGTTAATTGCAGAGGAAGTAATCGCAGAAAATTACGATAACGAAGGTAGTGCACCAGTTCCTGCTAGTCTTAAGGGCATCAGCCCTGTTCCAGTTTTTGAGAATGGTATTCTCATTCATGAGATTGCCGCCTGTCCAAATCGCAGTAATCCCTATCATGAATGTAGTGTTCTCTGCTTTAACCGCTTCGGTCGTCGTACATTTCGTTCCAATAATCCCAATATGATTCGCCTTCGTGATCGCATGCTCCGCCGTTACCCTCTTCCTGCTAATTGGATAGAAGTTGGCGACCCTGTCTCTGGACGTTTCTACTATTGGAACATGATGACTGATGATGTCTCTTGGTTGTCCCCAACTCATCCTAGGGCTGTTATTACAAAATCTGCAAGCATTCTAAAGGTACAGATGTTAGCAGCTAAGACAGCAGCGGCAAATATATCGGCGGCAATTCTTGGGACGCCGGGTGCTTCAGAAGTTGAAAGTGAAGAAGGAGAAAGGAATGAGCGAGATCGATCAAAGTCCCCCACATCAACTTCTCGCCCACCGCTTTTGTCAAGTATTATGGCTCCACCCTCTGGACCTCCGCCTAGACTTGCTAGTTCTGTCAGACGACCTCCAAAGTGTAAGTCATTACTCGTATGGCTAACACTTGTGTCTACTAATAGAAGTGTCAATATTTTATTTAGTACCTTATAGACAATGCGTGTATGTGCGGTGGTGCCATTTATATCTGCATAATTTATTACTATTGTTCTCATCTAATTTGTGATAGATTGAAGTGAGAAGTCAACTGCCAGCTTATAGACATTTTTGCCGTTTGAGTATACGTTGCCCAGGGTACCCCACGTGGAGGTATGTCTACCGCACACCCCAGTTTAAATAATGTATAGTTTAATCTTTATTATTTAATAAATTTATGCCTTATTTTCAAGTTATTCATCGCGTCGTCCACTTTGATACCTACTTCAGCTACTCAATATAGCCTGATGGTTGTAGGTTTCTCATTTTAGTGTTCAATTTTCATTAAATTACTACTACCAGTTGAGTTTAGGTCTTAATGCTTCTGATGATAGTTTCACCCTTGGCCCTATAGCATCTATTTATTTTGAATCGTTACTATCCGCTCGGTATTTTCGTTTTTTTCTAGAATCCTACCTATTGGGTCTAAATAATCCGTATTGGAGTCTGTAAAAGGTACTGGTGAGAACATGAGATCGCCTTTTTCTCCTTAATAAGAATAGTTGGCTCTTTCAGAAACATTTGTTAAGTTGCACTTCTGCTTTGTCACTGCCATATAACTATGTAGATCGTTTTCTTTTTAATGAAAATGACTATTCGTCTTCAGGATTTATTTTTCTTTATCTAAATAAGCTGTCAGGTTTTCTCTATGGCGACTTGTGTTTATTCTTTCTTACCATTTAGGATTTAGTTTAAAAAACTGATCAACTTCTGAAGTGATTGTTTTTATATTTTAAATTATTAAGGGATTTTAATTGCAATTCCCTTTCACTTCCATGTTTCTGTTGGTTTTTACCTAGGTTATAAGGCTAAACGGCAATTCAATGGAGTGTAACTTAGAACCCAACATTAAGAGCTACTTGTTTTATTGAGGTAGTTTGATTATTGCCACCTTTATAAAACCATTTTTTGAGTAATTGAAGTAACCCAGATATTTTTTACTTATTTCTTATTATTTTGCTTTACTTAGTGTTGGTGATTGCTTTTTTTCTGCAATTAAATCAATATCTTTAGGGACGATAGTTTGTTGAATAACTTGTGTTATTTAAATGAGTATCTTCAAGATTGCGGTTTAAGTGTTAGTTCGCTAGAGGTTTTCCTTCATGCAGCAATTTTTCATCGAATTACCAACTAGAAGTTTTTGATTTTGTATTGGGTTGGCAACTAAGTCATTGCCGTTTTTGTTGACAGATACACTATACTTTCTTTTGTTTTGTTAACGTGGCCAGAGCATCTAACCTGTATTTTGTTCTTACTCTATGGGCTTCTAGGTTAATTAGTAAAAAATTTTTTTGTTTAGTTCTTTAGTTTTGCTTTTATCCCAATTTAAAAATGAAAGAACAGGACGTGCACTTCCGACACATTTTATTGTATTACTTCCGAAAAGGCAAGAACGCATCGCAAGCACAAAAGAAGTTCTGTGCCGTATATGGAGATGAAGCCTTAGAAGAAAGGCAGTGTCGAAATTGGTTTGAAAGATTTCGTTCCGGTGATTTTTCACTGAAAAATTCACAACGATCTGGCCGCCCAGTCGAAGTGGATGAAACCCATATCAAGGCCATTATCAAGGTCATTCAAATCGTCACAGCACAACACGAGATGATATTGCAGAGAAGCTGCTCAATGTGTCGCATACATGCATTGAAAAAAAATTAAAAACCCTTGGTTATGTCAAGAAACTTGATTTATGGATCCCTCACCAGCAGTTAAAGGAAATTCATTTGACGCAACGGATTAACATCTGTGATTCGCCGCTACTGAAACGCAATGAGAATGATCCATTTCTGAAGAACCTAGTTACTGGCGACGAAAAGTGGATAGTTTATAACAATGTTACTCGCAAGAGATCATGGGTGAAGCAAGATGAACCAGCAGCAGAGATTCAAAAGCAGCAGAGATTCACCAAAAAAAGATTATGCTGTCAGTCTGGTGGGGGGATCACAAAGGAATTTTGTATTTTGAACTCATGCCGCAGAACCAAACGATAAATTCAAATGTGTATGTTGAAGAACTGGAAAAACTGAAGGATGCAATTGAAGATAAGCGGCCGGCATTATCAAATCGGCGGAAGGGTGTTGTTTTCCATCATGATAACGCAAGGCCCCCCCCCCCACACATCTTTGGTTACTCGGCCAAAATGATTGGAACTGGGTTGGGATGTTTTATCACACCCACCATATAGCCCTGACCTTGCGCCTTCGGATTACCATTTGTTTCGTTCCATGCCAAACTCTTTAAATGGTAAAATTTGTAACAACGCGGATGATGTCGGATCACACCTAATTCAGTTTTTTAATAGCAAAGACCAGACATTTTAGGAACGGGGAATTTTTACCCTGCCAGAACGATGGAAAAAGGTCATCGACAAGAACGGCCAATATCTAATTGAATGAAGTTATATTTTTAAACAAAAATTCCGAATTTGCCTTCTTATTTGAAATCGGCAATGACTTAGTTGTCAACCTAATAGTATAGCTAATGCTGATGAATTTGAAAGTTGGAAAGAAAGATCACATAGACCAGGGACTGCAAATGGTTAGAGCATATAACCATGACCCGTAAGGTCCTCTCGACCCTACTTAAAGCGATAGCAACCAACGGCCATGTAGCCAAATCTTAGCTATGGCCACATCGAGACCCACCGGTTGAACTTTCCAATGGATCCACTCTACATAAAGGAGTGATTTTCACCTTGCTCTAACGTACTTAACGCGCTACTAATAACCATGAGCCTCGTTAAAATGTTTTATTTAATCTATCTACGCAAAAGCTTTCTCAGAGATTGACAGATCTCCCTTAGTTTCTCCTATTTATTGTTCACCTGATTCGTGAAGGTTTGTTGCTATATCCGTTAACCTTTAAAGATCACAAGATTATAAAGGAATATCTCAATCAGATTATTTATTTATAACAAATGGTAGGCGTTTTGATAGTTATCATTAGCCCTTTAGTTGACTTCGCCGGCGTTTTGATAGTTATCATTAGCCCTTTAGCTGACTTCGAGCTTCACAGAAGGGAGGAACATTAAAGTGAGAAAAAATCTTTCACAGGACAGCTATCATTAGCCCTTTAGTTGACTTCGGGTTTCACAGAGGGGAGGAGGAACATCAAAGTGAGGAGATTTCTGGAGAGGGAATAGAAGAGTGATTCACAGTTGTAAAAGTAGCAGACAGACACAAAGGCTCAGAAAGGGAAAGATGAGTACTGTAGTAGGGGTCGACTATGACATACAGTGGGGGTGATGGTTGTTTGAAGTGAGAAGTCAACTGCCGGTTTATAGACTTTTTTGCCGTATGCGCATACACAATGACATACAGTGGGGTGATGGTAGTTTGAAGTGAGAAGTTGTGACATATAGTGGGGTGAGGGTAGTTTGAAGTCAGAAGTCCACTGCCGGTTTATAGACTTTTTGCCGTATGAGTATACTTTGTAACATACAGTGGGGTCATGGTAGTTTGAAGTCAGAAGTCAAGGCATACAGTGGGGGTGATGGTTGTTTGAAGTGAGAAGTCAACATGTGGAAATAAGTCTATCCCACACTCCCCCCCAATCAGGTTATAAAAGTTGCTCTACCTCTCATTCATTCTCCGAATTTGCCCTCTTATTTGAAATCGGCAATGACTTAGAGAATTTGCCTTCTTATTTGAAATCGGCAATGACTTAGTTGTAACCTTATATATTATTAAGTACTTAAGTACCCGCACACATATAGATATATCTACTGCATGGTCTTTTACAGGCAATTAATGTTAATCACAATTTTATTCGAATTTATTTCAGTCGACAAACGAAGACGTGGAGATGATGATCCTCTTGATCCAATGGATCCAGCTTCCTACTCAGATGTTCCTCGTGGAGGATGGACTGATGGTCTCGAAGGTGTAGATTCAGCAAAGACCGGCGCCGATACAACTGCTTCTGGACCGCTTTTTCAACAGAGACCCTACCCATCGCCTGGAGAGATTCTGCGAGCTAATGCCAAACAGCAACATCAGGAATAAAACCGTTTGGGAACTTTCTATCTACTTACGTGTTAAATGCATTTTACTAATATCATTTGAGCAGTTTGTATTGTGGGCCTTTTGACTTATTTAAGAACATGTGGAATATGATACGAAGCAAACTGTGTAGGTTCTCGGTTAGAACGATTAGGATAATTTCACTACGAACTAATCTACTGTGAAGGTGCGTTTATGTCGGGAATTCGAGTTAATGCGTACTTTTAGTGTTTCGTCAAAATACGTCTACTTATAAAGTTTCAGTAGCCTTTTTTCACGGATGAGTTACCAAATACCGTAGAACAATCATATCCCTTTATGTTTGTGTTGTATGCTTCCAGCTGAAAATGCTGTAAAGGATTTACTAAAATGTAAAAGTTATCAATTGAGAAGGTGATACCTATGACCAGTTCCTTGTGCTGCTTATGATTCAAAAGAAAGCTGAGATAATTCTTCAAAGGTGATGCATTCTTCATTGGGGATTTAAGAATGCATTTCAAAGCTGATTTCTCAAAGTGCTTAGATGAATTTTTTCAATTTGTATGCATCCCTTTATTTTTCACAAAATGTTAATTATTTTTTGCGAGATATTAACATACTTGTTAGCGTAATATTTGCTTTATTTGGTAAAATAAACTTTTTTCGAAATCTGTTCTCTTTATCTTAAAAATGCATTTTTTGCAAGAAGTTCATTTATAATTATTGTTGTTTGCTACAAAATAGCATGCATGCTACACAAATTTGTTCGAATAGGTTTTTAAGTACGGTAGTCTAAATGTCTTGTTATGTGGCTACATGTTTTTAATTTCACAATGAATTTATTTGTTTGATTGATCTTTCACCACAATCACATTTTTCATAGTAATCTTGGTGATACTTCTAGATCACTAATTCGTTTCAGTTAGCCTTGTCATATCATGATATTTTCTGCAAACCAACACCCCTTCTCTTTTACTGTGCCTCCCACATTACCAACCGTCGTGGTTGGAAGGATCTATTTCAAAATTGCCGGAAGTCTGTAAGGCCTTTGTGACTGAGCGCATAGGGACTAAAGAAAACAATTTTTTCTTACATTTATGTGGTTTGTGATGCAACTTGCTGTATAATTTTAAAATCTGTAAATTCTTTGCCATAAAGTTAAATCGAGTGGCTTTAAAGGAGTGACTCTGAGTGAGTGGAGTAACAAGATTTTTCTTTGATTTTGAACATTATACAAAAAACAAAGGCAATTTTACGTAGCGTTGCTGCTTCACGAAATTAGCTGAACGTCACGACAAAAATGCATCCAATTTCGAATTAAAGGGGTGTCAAGTTAAAGTACACTTTTTAGTCCAGATCTAACAGTTCCCTCACTGAAAATAATAATCAAGCGATATTTCAGTGCCTCTTCATCTGAAGATTGCAAGGCAGAGTAATGGAGAGCTAATTTGAATTCAATGGACTGACCACTTTTATCGTGCGAAGTAATTTAGCATAACGGGCAATAAAAGGCTGTATAAAGTAGATTCTGCGATGGGGATCAAACTAATCTAGAAGCCAGGCCTAATTTTTCTATGAGAAATCTTTATGAATGTTGACTACTGTTTGCAAGTCTAACACTCCCGTGTTCCGACTTCAATTTCGTTTGTTGGTTAATTAATTGGGACCCATATTTTCGCTTCATGTGGACAGGAGATAAAGTGGACTTAGCGTTGCAGAGCTCCTTTACAGGGAAAGCTATTTCACCTGATTTCTAAAGTGTATGAAATACTTTCCAAATTCCGTCGATTTGCACCAACCATTTAATAAAACTACCCTCGCCAATGAAGTAAATTACTATTATGATGAAATTCAATGGTATTATGCCTTGATAATTTATTAAACAATGTTAAACCAGGAAGCTTAAATAGCTCTACTATTTTGGAGAAGTGCACGGAGTTAATTCGTGTCACAAAAGTTCCTTAAGATTATTGGAAAGAAAAAAAATACTTGAGCAGAAATAAGTTGATTAACAGCTATAATTTAAAGAGCAAACACTAATTTGTAGTTCTACTAATTCCTGGTGCCTGGATACTGAAGAGTTGTAGCATATATGTAGGCGTCAACAGGATTTCGCCAATTAGAACATTTCCGTGAAGAGGTAATTATAGTTGTTAGATAAATTTGACGACAGCGCAAGATTTTATGGTTGACACCTGATCACGCCTGCAAGACCTATCGCGATGTACTGTCGAGTATGCATTGGGGATCTGAGGGGAAAGGTAATACTCGTCGTGGAAGCACTACAATACCACAGTAAGTGGATAGAATGTAGGCAGTTTATGTAGCTATTCCCAAGGGAAGAGTAAAACCATTTGATTCTCGCTTTTGTTCCTGTGGACGGAGCTGCGGGCTTGGGTGATGGCCAAATAAGGCAAGAATTTATTTAGTTATATCAAATGGCAAGCGTTTTGATGGTTATCATTAGCCCTTTAGTTGACTTCGGGCTTCACAGAGGGGAAGGAACTTCAAAGTGAGAAAAATTCGAGGGGGGGAGGGGAGCAGAAGTGAGATTAACAGATGTAAAATAGACAGACACAAAGGTAGAAAAAAGGTAAGGTGAGTGCTGTGGAAGTAGTCGAATATGGCATAGAGTGGGATGATGGTAGTTTGAAGTCATGCCGTATAAATATACGTTGCCCAGGGTGCACCACATGGAGGTAAGTCGATGTCAACTGCCGATTAATAGACTTTTTTGCCGTATGAGGATACGTTGCCCAGGGCGTACCACGTGGAGGTAAGTCTATCGCACACCCCACATTGCTATTTCGCACAACGTGGAGGTAAGTCTATCGCACACCCCATTCATTAAATATATCACGGAGGTAAGTCTATCGCACACCCCGTATTTTAGACTTTTTTGTCGCATGAGTATACGTTGCCCAGGGTGTTAGACTTTTTTGCCGTATGAGTATACGTTCCCCAGGGTGCAGTTAAAAGACTTTTTGCCGTATGAGTATACGTTGCCCAGGGTGCACGGACTTTTTTGCCGTGTGAGTATACGTTGCCCAGGGTGCACGCGTGGAGTTAAGTCTATCGCACACCCCATGTTGCAAATATTGGGCCTATCGCGCACCCCAATAAGGCAAGAATAGAAGCTAATGCGATATATATTCGGAGTAAAAACCTTTAATAATGCGTCAATTATATTTGTCTCATAGACTTTAGTCAAATATAAGTAGGCTATTTTCTCGGCCAACAACTGCCTTCCATCCTCTCTCTTCTCTCCCCCCTCCCCCCCCCCCCCCC